GAAAAAAATGGAAGATAAATTAAATAAAAAATATCCCAGAAATTCCATAGTCGCCCAACAAGCATACTTTACACTCCTTGATAGATTTCTCTTGTAATACACAGATTCCCAGGAAACTTTACCAATCATGTCCCACAACCTTTTCCCACTCAATACCGAAATATTCCCTTCATTTCTCATAAATTTGGTGGATGGCTGTAAAACTATCTACACCAACTCTTCTGATGTTCTCATCAAGACTGGTCAACATGTTGATGTCTTATCAGGGTGTGGGATTCTACCTTGTTGCTGACTCAACCAATACTTGGCATCCGAGTCTTCATTTGTAGACACTTTAACCTTCAGCCATTTGCTGTATTTTTTCTCTCAATTTCAATGTGCTACTGTTATGAGCGAAAATCCTGCGAATATTCTTTGAGTGGAATTGCTTGATGGAGTCAGTTCTCAGTATAATTATAATAACATTGTCATTTTAAATGTTGTAGGTTTATTACATGTTAGACTTAAATGGTCAGTTGCTGAACTACTCTGGTTGTGGTAAGTCCAATATCAGCCTAAGCTGCAAGACAAGGTTTAATATTGTTGAAGGGTTGATTTGCATTACTTATTTTCTATTCCATTGCTTCAGTCTATTAGACATCTTTAAATTTTTATTTTTGAACCGTTTCACTATTCCTCTGACAGTAGCTCAAGTACTTCAATTCAGTCTAATGGTTGGTACTGGTAAATTGACCTCTTGTATATGAGCCAAGCTATTCAGCATGGTTTAAAAGAAAATCAGAATAGGCTCGACTAACTATACACATTTTTTATTCTTGCGTTTATTACGTTTGATCTGTAAGTAGTGATGTCACTGCTTTAATTGGACCATGTTGATTGATGATGTGCTGAAAGCAAAATCCGTCATTGGTATAGTTTATGATAGATAATCTTTATTGCTCTCATTTGTAATCTGGTTGTCTAGGGAATACGTTGAATTGTAACCATCCTGTTGTCATGGAACTTATACTCAACAGCTTGAGGCACTGGTATGTCCTTATTTGTTTCGATAACCTTACTTATTTGAATACGTTAACATCCTTCTTCAGTTATGTTATGCAATTCGTTAAGGTTGTAATTTTTTGTGTAAATGTATAACGTGTATGAAGCTTGTGCTTTTCATAACTTGCGTATGTATCAAGTGAATTCATTTGAAATTACCGGAAAAATATCAGAAAGCAATATATTAAACTAATTCAGCAGTGATTATATTCGAGTTTCTATATTTTGATTTTAGCTGGTTGCAGTCCGGATTTCACATGTTTTTATTTTTTCTCAACCGTACAATTAGTCAATTATATACAAAGCATAAACATTTCTGATATTTTTGCTGTCCGTCGTAACCACTAACCAGTTTTAGTTCTCTATCTATACTATTTTTGTTGTGTGAACATGATTGTGATTGTTAGTTCCCTAAGATAGATATTCAGTTATTTATTTTCTTTACTTTGTTTGCTAAACTCTTATTGTAGATTTAATTTTTTAGTTGTGTGTGCATATATTGTCAATATGCTTGAGGGAACTTCCCTGCTGCGAGAACCAAGCAGTTAAGCACTATACTGCAATATGTCAAATATCGATGTTTCATACTCTTATGTGCCACGTATGCTGCTTATCAAGTGAAGGAGAACATCAATGGAATATTGAAAATGGCGGTGATAATTTTTTAAATATTGAATAGCATGATATGCTACTGATAATAGTCATCACATATAATATGACATATTCCGTAGTGTCTTACCAAGAAAATGGTTCTCATTTGACACACACACACACACACACATGCATCCATTTACTTATTCAGAAAATCGAGCAGTAACGTGAATGTCATGGTACCAGAGCTTTCTTCTCTCGTCTAAAATTCATTATGGGGTTTCAATAGCTGTCTGTCCCAATCCACTGTGCAGCTATCCAGTGGCCGATTTATCAATCTTTTTTTTTTTTTTTTTAATTTAATCCTGGAAGCTTTATCTACCAAAGAGGAAAATTTCTTTAGAGATTTTATTGTTCAAGCATTGTGTGTAACTGCCCTGATTTTATCTGGGACTTCTTGTCCCCTTGTAAATTCTTTATTTCCTAAAAAGTAACTTTTACTCATAAAAGGCAGATGCCTGTTTGATTAGTTTCATGATTTGCAAGAGTATTTATGGATTGAATAAACTATAACACTAACCTAGTATAACTGATGAAATAGTTTTCGTTGTCTTCTTGGAAATGTGAATGTTAGGAGTGCAGAATCAGGAAACATGAAATACATAATCTTATTGATGACAACAATAATACCAATATAATATGTAGTAATCTTCTCCAAGTAAGGAAACATGAAATACATAATCTTATTGATGACAACAATAATACCAATATAATATGTAGTAATCTTCTCCAAGTAGATATCTGCCTGCTTATGCTATTCATAACCCTATCTTATATTTATTTCTACTGAAAATATCAATATTATCAACAATAAAAGGGGCAAGAAATTATGTAGCATGCAAGGGAATTAATTAAGTTAAAATCCCAAAGGCTAAGCACCAATTGGGATACCAATGAATAAGCATAAGAGATTTTAAAATCGATTTCCGTTCGCACTTCCATCTCTGTAAGTGAATCTTGAGTACTTCATCACTGCCTTAATCCAAATACACAGGCACAGTGGTGTCTATCTGTATTACTTGATTCTTCTTAATAGTTGGTGATTCATCTATTGATTTTATTCATAGTTTGTTTTATTCCAGTATGATTAGTTGTATGTTTAGTAATGCCATTGTTTGGTTTCGTTTTTGTACCTTTTTTTCTCAGTACCTTTTTTTCCCATTCATTCTCATTTTTTGATTATTAAGAGGTTATATGGCGAATAATTTTATGTTGAGTTCTTCTTAAGCTTATTTACTGATTTTTTCATGATTATTTACCTTGGTCTACTGCTAGAGAAGAAATATTGTTGCATTCAGTTTTGTGTTGATTGAGTTTTCACTCTTCTAACTAGCTATTTTACTTGAAGGGTCACGGAGTATCATGTTGATGGGTTTCGTTTTGATCTCGCTAGTGTGCTTTGCCGAGGAACCGATGGTTCTCCACTCAATTCTCCTCCATTAGTCAAGGTAACTTCTTTACTGGACAGTACAATAATGAAACAATCAGTTCATTGGACATTATAGTTCTAAATGGGCTTGGGTGGAAATTCAAATTTCATATCAATAATCGACCCCTATTAACATTCATAAGCCATATATGATAATAGATAAAAACTAGCCTAACAAGAAATGAACCCTAACAAAAACAGTTATCCTAATTGATAAATATAATAAAATCAACTATAAACTAGTTATCCTAATTGATAAATATAATAAAATCAACTATAAACTAGATACGATATCATCAAATCTCTATATATTTAAAGACAAAGTTTTTTACTACTATTTTAAAGTTTTAGAATTTACTAAATTTAGCATGAAGATTCTTCTTCTGGAAAATCAAGCATGAAGTTTATTTTTCTGGAATGTCCCTTTTACTTACAATATTTTCTAGATAAAATATTCTTGTATAAAAAACATAAAAAAGTAATCAATGTCATATTTTATATTTAAAATATATGTAATAAACTTGTAAATAACTTATTTAATAGGTAAATACAATAAACATTGCAATAATATATATTTAATTATAGCATGCAAATAATCTCATCACACTGAATAGTTTACCAATTATGCAATCATTATAAATTATTTTATCTATGTTTATCGAATGTCATTTACTATTGAAAATGTGTATATATGATTGTTTTCATAGTATAAGAGAATAAATAAATACTTACCTTTACATATTAAAAAAACATTTGAAAATTATTGAACATGTATTTTTCTTCCTATTTACACAACATTTTTGAAATATATTTGAGTTTACTGAATTTAGTTTCATAGGTATACTCAATTTACTAGAAAACTTTTACTAGATTAATGTGTCAAAATTTATTACATTTTTAAAGAAAAAAAAAAACAGTCACAATATATGGAAAGATGAATGCAATTATTAAATTAGCATGTTCATATGATCTCCAAATCGAATTTGGAACATTCTAAACGTGAAGGAGAAACGACAATTTACAACATTAAATATGGTATGAATTGGTAACGTACATTAATCCATTTTATAAATGAAGGAAATCCATTCTACTTTTAAAATAAAATGCATGAACAAATAAACTTTACAACTTCCTAAACAGTGGAATATTTCTTCCAGTGGTTTTTATATTTATTTTATTTGTTGTTTTTTTTTTCCCTTTCGCCTTTTATAGATTTTGAGATAAGGATGTAGTTAAATTTAATTCAGGTTGTTGGCTCTTATGTTGTCTAATGTGTGATGGTTGTCTAGGTACGATGAGATAGCCGACTTTGGTGTGTTTAATTTGCTAAATAAGATTAAAATCATATTTGGCATTTTTCATTTCATTTCTTATTTTTTTCTTATACATGAAAATCTACGAGATTGGATAAATTTTGTACGAATGAAAACATTTTTTTTGGAGAAAAAAATAGTAAACAAATAATTATTTTTATAATGTAAAGTGATTTGACATAGAGAGTAATATTGAAATGTGATTGTGATAAGGAAATAGTAAAATAATAACTACAAGTTACTAATATGTGAGATGAATATTAAGCTTTATAAAGAAACGTTGAAACATATTGCAGCGGTTGATTTATAATTTAAAATTTGTATTGAGGAAATTGAAGATATGAAAGAGAGATGAATGAATATTGTATTTTTTTTTTTTAAATGGCGGATAAGAAAAAAGCTTGACTATGTATACGTATTTAATCGTAACATTTTAATTATAATTTGATTAAAATTGATGAGCTACGACAATCTAAAATTGTGTAAATTTCTACTATCGAAATTACCATTTATTATTGTTTGAATTTTGAGTCTAAATCATTATAATTTTAATGTTTTATGGATTGAATTATTTTTTGTTAGTCAGTGTTATCTTCATAAAAATTTATACGGTATTTCAACAATAATTAATTTTATCGAGTTTTACAAATTTCGTTGCATGATGCTTGCCACACTAAAGTTTAGTGATGTATATCTTCTGCAATGCTACTAACAATTAATACATAAATTGTTCAAACTACAAACTATAAGATATATCAAATTTATAAATAAAATTAGAAATTTGTGATAATTGTAGATCTCCCTCAATATAAGATATATCAAATTTATATATAAAGTGATAATTGTAGTACTCCCTCGATACATTTTTATTATAGTATTTGTAAAGTAATTATCACATGCAGAAAAAAAAAAAAAAATCATCAAGAAAAGCAATGTTAGCATTTTGCTACTTTATTATATGGCCGTGAATCTCATAAAAAATATTAATGAAAAATCAAAGGCATTGAGAGTTATTCATTTTTTTTTCTGAAAAATAAAAAAATTAATATGCTGTTAAAACCATATAATTTGTTTAGTTCATCACTTAATTTTACACATATATTTCTTCCACACTCCAAATGTCAATAATTTCCTTTGAATTTTCTTATATTTTTTATTTTAAATAAATGTTTTAAAATAAACACAAGTAAAGCATATCTTTCGCAGCTCCAGCTGAAAAAAAAAAAAAATTCTTGCAATACAGTTTATAATAAATGTTAGTTGTATAAAGTTAATATCTTAAAATTTGTTATAAGAAATTATATTTTATTTTGATAATATTGAAATTAGTGTTTTGCTTATATATACTAATATGTTAAATCACTAGGACACATCGCAACATTGACAATGGATAGTTACAGTCATTTGATTAAGTGTGTAGTCGAAAAATTTAGTTTTAAAATTTATAAAATGATATTGTACTTATCTTTTATAAGTGTATTGAAACTAAAAAAATAATTCATAATCAAAATTAATGTTTTATAGATGCAATATTTTTATTTGTTATAAATACTACTACATAAGTCAAAATGTCCTGAAACAAATTTTATTTATAAAATTATACTCTTTAAAAAAAATAATAATAAAAAAAGACTTGTGAGGGTTAGTTCGGTAATTTGGTTGGTCAAACCGACAAATTTATTCGGGTTGCTTAAACAAATAATCGAATACATAAATCTATCATGGTCGAGTTTTTAATTAAAAGGTACTCGATCAACTATCAACCGTTAGACCATACCGAGTCGAGAAATAGTGTATATGTTATATCAATTACATTGAACAAGTTGCAAAACAGAATTTAAATTAACTTTGCAATTACAAATATTGCAATATCCTTGTGCAAACAGAACCACCAACACCAACAAAAACAATTAGTGACCATTCTTGCCATTGAAATTCGAAGGAAATGAATTCCCCAAAATAATTTCATCACCAGACGAAAGGAGTCCCTTACCATGGATTTCTTGACCGTGACATCCACGTCCACTGTGTGCTGCTACCTCGCGCGAGAGGCCTAGGACGACTGCTAGTTGGTTGTGGCAAATCCCAAGACTTCCTATTTTGGCGGGCTACCATCTCTTGTGTCAACAATTCAACCTGTTGATGGATCTATGTGATGTCGCTCATACGTTGCTCAATAGTCACCAAGGATGAAAGGACAAGTAAATATAAAATAGTGAATGACTTTCAAATTATCGTATCAATAATCCACCCCTACTGATATTTATAGACCATATATTTATACTAGATATAAGCTTGCGCTACAGGAAATGAACCTTAACAAGAACAATTATCCTAATTGATAAATATAATAAAATTTGATAAAATTAACCATCAACTAGATTAGACAATATCAAATATTATCTAAAGATACTACTATATCTCCATGAGGCTGCCCACCCAGATTTTTATGCAATGATCTTCATACATGTGTTATTGTTTTTCAATAGTGTGATCTCACTCCTTAGGCGATTTTCCTCCTTTACACAAAAGAAAAAAAGGAAGAATGTGACATATATTACCTAAGGTTATTTTATCGTTGGAATGTACACAATTCTCACAGTTTACATCTATTTTTTTTGTCAGTATTGAGTGCTTCAGTATTGCAGGCAATTGCTAAAGATAACATCCTGTCAAGATGTAAGATCATTGCAGAACCATGGGATTGTGGAGGCTTATATCTTGTAGGAAAATTTCCCAACTGGGATCGGTAATGTTTGCTATTCATCACTTTATTAAGCATTTAAGTGGAAACTAACTCAGAGTCGCAGCAAATTATAAAATGAAGGAATATCTTTTATTGCATTACCTGCAGCAAATATACAGATGACGAGTTGAATAAACATAATCTTTAGAATTTGTTCTGCGCTGTTGTTTTGGTTGACACCTGCGGCATTTGTTGAAGTCTGCCAATAAAAATAGAAGTGTAGAACTCGTAGTTGGTTGTAATTGCATTATCCAAGTGATCAAGTTGCACCAGGAAGTTGTTATTTTATTTTGGGCCCTTATTCTGCTTGGCGATTAGATTCCTTACAATCTCTATTTTCTTTTCTTCTTTTTCTCTCTTTTTTTTGTCATTCTTAGTGTAAAATCATGTAACATTATCTGTATATCTAATTCTCTCTCTCTCTCTCTCTATCTCTCTCTCTCTCTCTCTCTCTCTGTGTAGTTGCAGATACATTTATATGCAAAAAAATCCTCACCTTTTCTGAATTGCATGTCACTTGCTAATATTTTATTCCGTAGAGTCTCAGAAACAAGGCTCAGAAAATGTAATCTTGAGCTGAACTCTTAACGACGTGAACAACTTTTATGTTACTCATTCTTAACAGTTTGCATTATGTTCTTTCACGATGAACTTAAAAATGTGGATTTCTTGGGCTTACAGGTGGGCTGAATGGAATGGGATTTACCGCGATGATGTTAGAAGATTTATAAAGGTGTTGCAAATAGAAACCCGTTAATAAGATAGTTATGTTTAAAATCATGGATTTCTCATTTTCTGAAATAGTAAATAATAAACATTTGATAGTTGGCATATTGTGTGGAATTGTAAATTCTATCAAAATCTATGTTGGGGATACCCTTGTGAATTAAAGGAAAGGAAGGTAAAATGGCCACAATTAGTTTATGTGATAAGGGCATCTTGAGTGATGTACCCAAAAAATAGGTTTGTTCTAGAAACATATTTTCGCCACACTTAGAAACCCATTTCTTGCACCTTAACCATAAACCTACTATAGTTTGTTACGATATATATATATATATATATTTTTAATTATTAAATATGCTATTATCTCTATATCTCTCCTCTCTCACATAAAATTAGCTCTTTTTGCCACTTTTTGGTTTAGATTTTGCTGACAGCTCAAATATTGGTAAACCTCCATAGGATATCTAACACATGAGAAACATTGATCAATGGAGATAATGGAAACCCATTTCTGGTCCGGGTTTATGGTAGTTGTTTTATGTAACTTCTCTACTGAATATTTTCTTTGCTTGGATGATCACTTGAAGACAATAATAACTGAGTTTAGTTTTCTGTGGCTCCATCTTTACTCACTTAATCAAGTTTGAGATTTTTGGGAGTTGCTTTTTGATGCTGAAGCTTTTCATGTCATTCTTTAATTTCCTGATTGCTCAAACTATTCTCTCTTTTTGTTTTTTGAGAAAAAAAATATTGTTTTCTACTTAGGGTGAAAATGGCATGAAAGGAAGTTTTGCTACTAGAGTTGCTGGTTCTGCTGATCTGTACAGAGTAAGCGATTCTAACAACTTGCTTGTAACATTTGCTCTACCTTGTTATCTGCGGTAACCATTGCCACGAGGATTGCTACCCTTCAGATGTAATGTGTCACTTGGTTATGGGCTTAATACTATGTTGTTTTCTGTTTTCTTAAAGATGAGTCATGTAATGTGTCACTCGACTATGGGCTTAATGCTATGTTGTTTTCTGTTTTCTTATAGATGATATCTACTATGAAATTATTTTTATTGTTATTTTACTATTCACCTGGATGGAATTTTGACAACTCTCAACCGTCAAAATCGTACAATTGACGAAATGGGGCCAGAAGGACTGTCATTTCATTCATAGCCAAGATCTTGTCTATTTTGTGTGCGTATCTATCATATCTTTGGAATGGTGAAATGTTACATAGTCAAAAGAAAGAGAAGATGAAAGATCAACAATTTCCTGCAAAATCCAAGACTTTTTGTCTCTGTTAGTAAAATTGAGAAAGATGGAGGCTCCATTAGAATTTGTTTAGATTTTCACCAGTCTGTATTACACAAATTAACCTTGTAGCATATTCTTATCAAACGAGCTCAAGGAAAAAACTGATAAACACCTAAATTGCACGACATACTTGCCTTTTTTAAAAACACAAGAACTTTCTATCATTTGCTTCCTGGTGAGTGTTGCCAAGGCTCCTCTGATGTATGTTTAATTTTGAAATGATCTCGTTCTTCTAAATTCTTGTTAATGTACAATCAAATTATTTACTGGTTCTTACTCATATAGGTAAACAAGCGAAAGCCATGGCATGGTGTCAATTTTGTAATTGCACATGATGGATTTACTCTATATGACCTTGTGTCTTACAATTTTAAGGTATCACATGCCACTATGATTCCCACTTTCCTACTTAATTTGGTCGATTTTAATATTAGCTGTACATTTACCGTCATCCATTTGCTGAAAATCTAGCACAATGATGCTAATGGTGAAGGTGGAAATGATGGAAGCAATGACAATTTTAGCTGGAACTGTGGCTTCGAAGGTAGATATCTAAATATCCTTGTCTATTGCTCTAAATCTAATTAGTTTAGTTTCTTATAAATACATTTTCATGGTATTAACTATAAAATATTTACTTGCACTTACTCCATGCGGATTTAAGTAGTTCAAACTTTTTAATTAAGTCATTCGACAAAGAATGGTTAAGTTATGCTTTCCAATATCGCTATACTTTTTAAGTGGGTCTGTGTAGAACTCACTCCGAAAGGCTAGGTCAAAGGGACAGAGTGCCCGACCCAAAATATGCACTATAAGATGTCAAACTTAGCTATGTGGGCCAAACATTACTTGTAAAACCTGCTCTCCCGCATAGCATGCCAATCTAAATTGGTCACCCACATTGCTTCTAAACAAACAAAACTGGGTGCTCTAATACCATATGTTAAAAGGGTCTGGGTTCATACCCAAAACAGTTAGCTTAAAAGGAGATGGTGCCCGATCCACTTTTAAACATGATAACAACCTAATATTTTCCACTTAGCGGTGGCGATGTACGATAAACATAACTTCTAACAATACGCACGCCGCACGGTGTTTGTTATTTTTCATGGTTTATTGTTTCATCCCAATGAGTAATGACTTCTCAATGTTTTTGTGACATGATGAATGCAATCTCACTAAATGAACCCTTTTGTTGCAACCTTAGTGTAGGAACTGTTGAACTCCAAAAGTTACCCTTTGGCCTATATAATTTACTGTGCTGTTCTAGAGGTTGCAGTCTATTTTCCTGCAAGAAGTAAATTAGGAGGTAAACAAGTCATTAAAAGCTGGAACATATTGAGTAATAAAAATTTCAGAACATATTAGTTGCAACCAGAAAATGGCAAGAATCAAATTACAAGTTATTCCAAAGAGAATAACTATGAAATACAGTAAACTGTGAATACATTTGGATTGGTATGTGGTTTTGGCATTCCATTGGACCTACTAATATCCAATATCTGGGTCTTTAAGATGATTTCAGAATGCTTATTATCGGAACTTTTAATTTCTCTATCTAATTGATTCCTTCTTGAATTTCAATATTTGCTATGAAATTTTGTCGATTATCTACTTAGCTGCAAAATCTTCTGTGAGGTTTGTTTTGATCTGAGTACGGATTTCATTCTGCAGTCTCTGATTGTATACTTTGCAGTGATCTTCTTTTGCTCCTTTTCTTGTAAAAATTTGTCATATTTAATGTTCAAAGGATGCGTTCTCTTTTCAAGTAGAAACCACAGGTGATTTGAATAAGAACGTTTTTCATTGCCGAATCTTGAAGCACCTGCAGGGATTTTCTGAAATGTGTTGGTAGACTTATCAGTCTATTGGTCTTGGGTTTCGGATGCTTTATTATCTTTTTCAGGGGAAACAGAAGACACATTTATCAAGAAACTACGCATGCGGCAAATGAAGAATTTCCACGTGGCGCTGATGATATCCCAGGTAGGCATGATTTTGAAGATGTATCATGAACCTAAATGTTGAAACATCACAAATAACTCTCATCTGAATTGGTTCATTCCATTATTATGTTCCGTTGCAGCCAAGGTCTACATAAGAGGCATTCTGCTATTTTCTGCTGCATGCCTTTTGTAAACTTTACTTCCGATTGTTGATTAATTTCATTGATTGCAAGGAATTATATTACCATAGTATTTGGCTGCTCTCTATGATATGTTTCTGCTTATTATATTATCCCTCTTTTCTTTACATGAGGCTGCCTGTGTACTGTATTTTCTTACTACCAAAACTTTTGCTCTCGGCTTCAGTACTATAGTTGTTTACTTTGCTAGTCTCATCTTTTCGACGTCATCCTTTTCCAGTTTACAGATCAGTTTTTCTTCGTCATCAGTAGGATCAGACTCCAAGTTTGTGTTTTGTATCATTTATTAGAGATGTTGGAGCTTATGTCTCTTCATTCTTACATTTCAGCTACCATCTAACTTTTTTAACATCCATCATACTTTTCTGTTGAAATGAGAATAGTATATACGTATCTGAATAAATTCTGTTTGTGACAAAAGTTTCGTAAGATGAGAACGTGCAACTTGATTAGTCTTTGAATGTTCATATGTTTGTCATTTGTTAATTGTTATTAGGGAACTCCAATGATGCTAATGGGGGATGAATATGGCCATACCCGATATGGAAATAATAACAGCTATGGGCATGATAATACGCTCAATCATTTCCAGTGGGGACAAGTATGTGGCTTTTTGGTTTTTACTTGGATCTCTCTGTATATATTGTATCCGTTGTTTGTAAAGTGGGATCAAAATTTGATGACAGCTAAAAGACATGAAGAAAGATCTGTTTAGGTTCTTCTCAGAGATGATTAAATTTAGACGTGGTCATCATGTCTTTACAAGAGAAGATTTTATTGGCAAGGTAACATTTTTATCTTCAGATGTCTGAGTTGTCAGTTCCATGTGGCATGGATTTGTGTTGCTTTCATTGGGTAAATTGCAGTTGATCGTCGTTGCTAGCAAAATGTTTCGAGCAATAATTCAAATTTTTGGAGGTCCATCGAGTTTGCCCACTATACTAATCTTTATTTTGTGTAACCTTTATCTTTATGTTGATCCATGCTCTTCACCTTATGCCTGGGACATACGAAATCTCATTAGTAATGTACGAACTTGCATAGATTGGAAAATTCTAGACGCATGTAAAATAGATCCTTCAAATTTTTTGTGCACTGGTTAAGTATGAGCTTAACCTGTTATGTAGGAAGTCCTGCTTTGGGCTGTGACACTTAACAAATGCAAAAACTAACTCTAAGAAAATTACTTTAGAAGACTCCAAGCGCAATATGTGATGAGTATCTCACTGAATTCTTTAATTCGTATGTGGTGCATGTCTAATTTGGCAAGACGGATGCATATGCACGATAGAATTAGAGTGTGGATAGTTGTAGCATGTTTCTAATGAAGTTGATTGCAAGTAGATTTGAAATAGGCCACATTCAGTTACCTGTTGGAAAAAGGTTTGTGGGGGAGAACTATTTCATTTGCCGTTATAGCTGAAAATTGTTAACTTAGTACTCTTTTTCAGGATCTAGACATGCGCTCAAGTGCAACAAGTTGTTCCATAATGAACTTTACAATTTTACCTATCTTGCTAGCTTACTTCTAGCGTTTTTGTTTAATTTTAATTTTTATTGCCATTTTCAACTTTGCATTGAATCTAACTTGGCATACCTTTTGATTCAGAAAGAGGTGACATGGCACGAGGACAACTGGGAAAACTGCGAGAGTAAATTCCTCGCATTTACGTGAGTTGGACTCTTTGCACTTCTCGAATGCAGATGTCTTACGAATTTGTTTTTAAAAAATTTATTGTTTGCTTGCACAATTGCATGATATAACTATACTTTTTCCAATCATGTTTTGCATCAGAATGTTGAGGACCATATAGCAATGAGAGTTAGGAAAAGAAACAATGTGAGCACAATGAATCTGAATTGCCATTTATATGATATTTTTAGTTGTTCTGATATAAAGTAGTCCCTAGCAGCTGGATTTTCCACAAAATGACCTTTTTCTTTTGACAATAAAATAAAATAAGTACTCTGATTATTAAACTGACATTTACAAGCATTTGCATGTGGGTGCAGCTATATGCATGTTGTATCGAACTTTATTCGCGTTCCATAAGTTTTTTGCTGTTACTTGCGAGACTGGAGCTTTCTCTTTTTCTTTTCTTTTTTTTTTTGCCTTTTTTTTTCAGTGGTTATGGCACATATACTTGACTAGGAAATGCGCAACTTTTTTTCGTGAATTCAGTATAATAGGCTTAATATCAGTTTGTTTATCAGTAGTCTCTCGGATTGGACATATTATCCTTCTTCTCTAGAACTATTCAACTCTCGGCGCATGCATGTGGAAATTGTCAATTTAAAAAGTCTTCCATATAACCTCTGTACATTTCTGCCATTACATAAAACTTTAGCCATGCGAATTGTGGGGGGCTTTTTAGCTTCCATATAAAGCCTTTTTACTGAGGAAAGGAGTTGGCTTTTAATTACATTACCTACATCCAATTGTACTTGGGAGTTGGGTCATCTATATTCCTAACACCTATTGGAGCAGCGAAGTAACTAGTTACGTCTCCGAAATCATTCGTCCCTATACATTGAAAAGCCTAACTCATGTACTATAGAGCAAGAATTAATTCTTCGGTGGGTGAAAATGTAATTTGGAGTAAATGAATAAGCGAGAAGTTGGGAATTCAACTATTTTTTTTTTTTCCTCTGGTCTAAATACTAGTTCGAACATTCATAGATATCCAGAGAACATTATATAAACCTGTCTCTTGTGAACAATTTTATATCTCAGGCTTCATGAAGAGAATGGAGATGATCTATACGTGGCATTCAACGCACATGACTACTTCGTGAAAACTGTTATACCTTCACCACCACAAAGAAAACGGTGGTTCCGAGTGGTGAGTTACTAAATTCAACTCTGCCCCTTATCTTTCAAATTTTACACCACAAAGAAGTCGTCGTGCATTATAGGTTTTCTACTCTATGCTTATTTTCCGCATCGTCCAAATTGATTCCTCACTGCAAGTTCTCTGGTTTGGCCCATTTCGCTCGAAATCTGGATTTCGTTCATCCATACTTTTCGGTTCATATTCACAGTCAATTTCCTTTTACTAGTGGACTAAACTGTGCTGCGTATCTCGATACTTGAGTTCAACTTGCCTCCAACTTGCCTCGTATGATTAATTGTTACAGACATTGGTTGCTGATGAGACATTCTTTTATCTGTATTATAAATAAATTGCAGGTAGACACCAATCTGGAGTCTCCCAATGACTTTGTTGTAGAAGGTGTTCCAGGCGTGGGGAATATTTACAATATTGCCCCTTACTCTTCCATTATTCTTGAAGCCAAACCGAATGTCTAACGTTTTGGGCTTGTGTTTTTTCTCAAGGTGCTTTTTAGTCTTTTAACTGTACTCAATTTTGCTTGCTTAGTATGTTAGACTAAGGGAAGCATAAGTTCAATAATGTGAATTACAAAAACTAAAATGAATTATTACCATTTATGAAAAAGTTGAATAGTGGTTCTTATTACAATATTTATAGTTTTTATTGTAAATTGTTGGGGGTAATTTCACTTTTAATTCAGGAACTATATCTTCTTTTCCCTTTTGGTACTCAAGGTTCTAACTCAATCAATATTGGTTCCAATTTTTTTAAAAATTGATCACTTTTTGTCTCAAAATCATTCAAAACTAATGGTCGTTGCCTTTCACACTACCTTTGGTAGCAAATTTAAATTAATCATATACCATTTTGAAGCTCTCGATTTATATGTACCTCAAAGTTCGTCAAAATTGTTAAAAGTTTCAAATTTCCCAAGCAAAATGCGTCTTAGAGTATGATTTTAATACCATCGAAGATCACGATACCAAGTTTTTATGAAAATTATGCTCATAGAAAGCACTTTTCCTGGCTAATTTTGTGATGTCTCCGATCGTCAATTAGGTCTTTCAATTGTCGGCAATATGCCAATGAAGGCAGCATCTTTCTGGAGAGTCTATAGACTCTATACGGGAAAAAAAAACTAAATATTTCTCTAGTATATTTATGACGATTGAAAAACAACGTTAAATTCTTTAAAAATATGCATATATGTGTTATAAAAATTTAACTACTAGATCTTCGGTAGCATTTATTCAAACTTATGACATGTTTTGGACGGAAAATTTTAGAACTTCAAAATGATTTTAACAAAACCCGAGGTACAATATTATGAAATTAAAAAAATTATTGGATAATGTCGAGTTGAGAACTTCAAAATGATATATAATTTGTTAGGAAACCCCGTCACCAGAGGCAGTGGGAAGCAAAAGGCGGTGGTAATTGATTTGAAAACGTTAGTAATCAAAACTGATTAAAGGAAAAATCAAGTACCAAACGCAATTATAGGGACGGTACTCAAAAGTGATTTTTTTTTTTCATTAGTTATTTGTTTGTTTTAACCCTCATGATTAATTTTGACCAGTGGTTTAATGTACGGATGTTGTCGAACCGAACTACACCGAGCTTGAGGTTTCGAGCTCGAATTTGACTATTTTTCTTTGTTCGGAATATTCGAACATAAATTTTTGTTCGTGTTCGTTCGTGTATTGGTTCGACAAGTTCGTGTTCGTTTGTTTATATAGTCAAACTTGTTCGTAAATTGACTAGCTGGAATTGTTAAAAACAAACAACATGCTCCCAAATAACTATAGACATGTATTCATTAGCCTTTTACCAAATTTAAACATAGAGGTAAATACAACCAAGCACAAATAAATACAAGTAAGTCCAACAAAGTACTAAGTCAAATATTCACCCGAATATTTAAAACAAACTTCAAATTCCACTTGTTAAAAGAAAACACTATAAAAGTTGAATGACGTGTTGTGTGTAAAGACCTCTGTCTGGCTCATACGACCTGGATATGTGTTCTGACATGTTGGCAGACTTGCAAAATAGGTGGGGAGGGGTTCTCGACGTTAGCAGATCAAGTCGGCGCATAGATGAAGAAGACGACGAATAGTGTATGTAAAACTCTGTAACAATATAGTGTGTAGAGAATGTAGAGTGTAAATGGACGTACCTCACCCCTTTATGTAGGGGTATTACCTTGTTGCCCAAGACTGCCCGGATGAGCTACCCAAACCCGAGATGCACGTTCGTATTGCCCGAATTGCAAATTCTGTTAGGTCACATGGCTCTATCCACATGTGGTTCTTATCCTAATAATATTAATTTTTATCAATTATTCTGCCTTTTTAGATGGTTTACTTGTGCGACCAACTCAATTTACCTCGAGGTAGAGTGTTGTCTGTGTTAAGCTCATATGCTCTGCTTTTCTAGTCGATGACCAGTCATACCTTAAGGTCAAGTTTCAACAAGGCAATCAAGTGTCCTAGCTCGACCTGTGGTGCTCCTTTAGAGCAATGTGTCCTCAGGTCGATGAGGATGGTGCGGGTTCAAAGGAGCACCAACAGGTCGAGTTAGGGCCCTTGGATGGCCTGATTGAAACTCGACCTGAAAGCATGACTGGTCGATGGATCAACTAGAAGGGCAGAGCATATGAGCTTAGTACAGGGAGCACTCCACCTCGAGATAATTTGGGTCGGTGGCACGACTAGACCATCTAATAAGACAAACTAATGGATAACAATGAATATTATTAAGATAAGAACCACATGGATAGGGCCATGCTTAACAGAGGGCAGTAGTTTGGACAGTACGGACGGGTAGCTTCAGCAGTCTGGGCAGCTCAAACCAGCAGTCTTGGGCAACAAGATAACACACTCCTATATATAGGGGTGAGGTATGTGCATTCCAACATTACATTCTCGACACATACTTACACACTAAGCTTTCATCACTGTTCATCATCTACGTTCGTATTCTGACTTAAGCATCTAAGGATCTACGCTGGAAAACCCATCCGGCGTTGAGTTTGTGTAGGTATTGAAGGTATCAACCGACAAGGGAGGCAATCCAGGTCGAACCGAGCCGGTCTAGGTTTTTTACATACCAAGTATACAAAGAAGAATCGCATATAGGTCTTTTTCTACTAAATATTTATTCAGCAAATATTTCAATAAAATATCTTCGTGTTTCCCGAATTGTAGGCTCTTTTTTTTGTTGCCTTCACAATGTTTTGGTGATCGAGTCCGTTATTTTTTTTTCTTTGTGGTATTATCTCGATGTTTGTTTGTGATATGCTATCCTCTTGTCGATCTGTTATGCATGGGTCCAAGTTTCTTTGGTGTCGATCTATCTTTTTAGAAGCATCTTTGCACATATCAAGTTTTATTTTTGTCGATCTGAGAAAGCGTCAAGCGAGGCCCTCTGGGATGGCCCATACTGAAGAGGGGGATGCTTTAACGGATCATGATGGTTCTTCTCGACCTGAAAAGTTAAAGTTACTCATCGAAATCTATTTTGTCTAGACCCCGGAGGGCCGGGATGCTAGTTATGACCCAGAGTCATCCTCACATCGTCCGGCTACTTTGTAACCGTTACTATATTTGGACTGATTTTTCTACCTTCTCCATGTTCTGTTGGAAGAGAGCTAATCGATCCGTATGCTTGTTGAAGGTGAAATAATAGAGATTGACGGACGATTTTGAACCTAATTTTTTTATGGTGAGAGGAGGCAAATATTTTTGCATATTATTTATTTGGACAGAATAACAAGACGAAAAGAGTTTCTTGGAGGGTCGGTCATGCAACCCTTTCTTTTAGTCAAAATAATTGAGAAAGCGAAATCATTCTTAGCTCGGGGGAAATGGGGAGCGTAGCTATATATAGGGAGAGATTTATAAGGTAACCCTTGATGGCATCTTTCCTCTAACGTCATTTTGTTGACGTTAGAACGTCAACCATAGTTAATTAAACGACTTAATAGGGTATTAAAGTGATGAAAATTAACAGGATGACTGTTATTAAGGGTTGATTAGTTAGTTTTTAGGTTGTGTGTAGGAATTGTAATGAAATAAATAAAAGAAAGATATTACGAAGAAAATACGGCCGAACTACTTAATGAGGAAATCAATGTAAAAGAAACAAATTGTAGTATTGTATTCATGAAACTTGCAATTTTCTTGTCCTATTTTAAGACCTGATGGGTCGTATTTATACACGAAAAAAATAGAAATGTAATGATAGCTTCATGCCAACTAAGGATACGTAGGAGTGACACGAATATTCCTGCAAAATCTCGATTTTTGATGATGGGACCGGTTGAGCGGTCTCTTTTCAGTTTACTCTATTGGTTTCTTGTTCATATTGCAGAGAAATCGGCAAAAGCTGTTAGATTGTGCTACTTGATGGATTGGCGCTCAGACATGACGAGAGATGGGGTTGGATTGGTGCCTGAAGTTGACGAGAAATTTGCTGCTGTATTTGGGAGAACAAAAGAAACACCCTCAGATACAGCATATGTCAACAGGGCACCATCTCAACATTAGCTGCTGTATTAAGGGTCCCTTAATCTCCATATGTTGTCCTTAAATAATAATCAATATAATCTCCATATGTTGTCCTTATATAATCTTTTGCAGACTCCAGAACTGATTTAGCATAAAGAAGTGGCGACTATTGTATTTATTTTGAATACGGCGTGCAAAAACAACACAAGTTTTTTTTTTTTTCCTTTCCAACTACTGCAGTAAATAAACTGATGTAGGAATGTACACGCATTCGGAATAA